GCGGAAAGGTGCGCCCTGTTTGAGGGGCAACCTTCCCAAGGGTACCCTTGCCTCCTTGCCTCTTCGGCCCATCCTTAGCGAATTTCGTTGGCCAGCCTCGTTCGAAGAACGTTCACAGGGGCCCCCGAGGCCCCTGCATCCCTGCCGCGCCTCCTTCTGACACGGGTTGCCTGCCTGGGGCGCTTCGTCGACACCGCGGGAAGTCGGGGAGTCAACCGCAGCACGGCGGACGGCGGGCCCCGAGCGCCGTCGGGGACGGGGCGAGGGCGGGTGGCCTTCGGAGGAGGCCCCGGAGCTGCTCCGCTCCCCCCCGGACCCCCTCGCGCCGTGCAGGCCCCGCGGCGGGGACCGCGCTCCTCGGCCGGGCCTCGGCCTCTCCGGGGGCCCTCGCCGGGCCCGCGGTGCCGTCAGGGCACGGCCTCGGGCACGGACCGGAGAGGGCCGGGGCCGAGGCCTCTGCAGGGGGGGCGTCGACGTGAGAAGGAGCTCACGCTGCGCCGGGTGGCCGGGAAGGGGAGGAGGCAGCATGGTCTGGAATGCGGAGGCCCCTCGGGCGGGGCCAGGACGCGGAGAGCTATCCGTGCCAGAGCGTTCTGGAGCGCTCTCAGAGTGTTCCTGAACGCTCTGAGAAGGCTGCGGCGCCCGAGATATCCTCCAGAGTCGCCGGATTTCAGAGATTCTTGTATCCCTGGCCGAAGGCACCCGCAGGATTCTCGGGGTGACCCAGACGGCCTCCAGGGCAACCCTCACGAGGCCCAGATGGTCCCAGGGGCTCCAAAATGGAGCGAAAAGCGGGGGGCACCTGGGGCCAGGGGCACGTCCAGCAACACCCGAGATTGTCTCCTCGTCCTGACTTCGTTTTACTCGTAGCCCTCCCCTGCGCGCCGCCCCCTCTTGCGCGCCGCCGGGCAGGAGCAGCAGATGGCGATGCTGCGCGACGAGGTGCTGCGGCTGCAGGATGGTGCCGAACGTGCCCCGGGGCCCCAGGTGGCACCAGCGCCTCGCGCCCTTCTGGAGCTCCTGGGGCCCTTCGGGGCCTCGCGAGGCTGCTGTTCTGGAGGGAGGAGCACACAGACACAAGGAATCGTCGATTCCCAGAAGAATGCAGGAAAATATGGGAAGTGGGGGGGGAAGCCGAAACTCCAGAAAATATTGAGAAATATGGGGGATCCTGGGATTTATGCTTATTGATTTGTGTGTGTGTCACCGATCCACCTCAGCTGTGGAAGCCACTGGGGGAGGGCCTCCCCTGGGAAAGCTGGGGCCACCAGGGGTGCCTATGACTCAGTTCGGTCGTCTGCCTCGCAGTCGGTGGCGTTCGGTCGTCTCGGTTGGGCCGGTCTTTGCGTCGTTGCGTCCCTCTCGCCTGCTTTCGATATGCCAGGTCGGTCGGTATCTGTTTCGTGTTCGTTCCTGCTGATGTTCGATCTAGTCGTCGCCGTGAACGTCTATGGCCACCTGTGGCCAGGGCCATCTCTCTCGCAGGCGGTTTCTCGCAGACGATTTCTCGCCCTCAATCCCGAGATACCCCCCTCAAAAGGCGGCCGCCTTGAACAGGAGGGGAGCTCGAGACTGCATCCCAGTGGGCCCGACGCACCCCCGTCGAGTGTGGACGACTCCGACCGTGCATCCACAAGCTGGACCTCTGATGCTGTGGCCAGCGGATCAGCCCACCAATGTCGGGGAACTGGGGTCACAGGCGATGGGGAAGCGAGGCAATGCCAGACGAGACGAGGCCGAGGCCGAAATGATCCCGGCGACGTGCCCGACACATCTGCAACAGGTTGTCGTGACGAGGGACGCGGCTTGTTGTGATGATCATTTCCGAGGCTTACGCGATGCACGAATCAGTGGACACGTTCGAGTGATGCAGTAGTTCGAGATCTGTCATGAGAAGATTGAGGGGGGACACAGTGGGCGAAACCGAAGACGATAACAAGACAGACGAGACTGAGGACGGCATGGAGGGCATTCAGGGCGAGGTCTTGCTCAGGTCCGGTCCGCGTGAGACGTTCCTCCGCTGAACCTCACAGGCGCCCGCGAACGTGGCGACAGTTGCGCACTTCGCAGCCCCCACCGAGGGTGAGGACTCGCAGTTGTCCGCGTTGGACATCACTCCGCTGGTTCTCCCAGGGACCCACGAAAGTGGCGGCAGTTTCGCAGTCCGCAGCCCCCAGGGAGGACGTCCGTCGTCCTTCCGCTGGACCTCCCGTGGACCCGCGAAAGTGGAGACAGCTGGGTAGTTCGCAACCACCAGGAAGGACGAGGTCTCGCTTGGGCCCGCGCGGGACGCTTCTCCGCAGGACCTGGGAGGAGCCCACGAAGGTGACGAGAGTTGCGCAGATCGCAGCTGCTCAAGGAGGGCGAGGACTCGCTTGGATCCGCGTAGGGCATCACTCCGCTGCACCCCCCAGGAGCCTATTGCCTATTGCGACAGCTCCGCAGTCGGCAGCACCCAGGGAAGGCGAGGATTTATTCTGACCCGCGTAAGACACCACTCCGCTGGACCTCCGAGGAGCACACGAAGGCGCTGACGGGTTTGTGGTTCGTAGCTCTCCGTTAGGGCGAGGTCTAAAAGGACATCACTCCGCAGGACCTTCAGAAGCCCACGAAAGCGGGGGCAGTTGCGTAGTTGGCAGTTGCGTTCCCATAGTGATCCGCGTAATGCACCAGTTCGCTGGACCTCCCAAGAGCCACCGACAGTGGAGACTCCTGTGCAGTTGGCGGCCCCCAGGCATGGAGAGGTCTCGTTCTGATCCGAGTAAGATATCGTTCCGCCGCCCCCCCCGGAAGCCCACGAAGGTGGCGACAGTTTCGCAGGGCGCAGCCCCCAGGGAGGGCGAAGTAAAGGGGAGGCAGGAGAGAAGGACATGCAGATCACAGTAAAGGCGAGGCAGCAGAGATGCATGATAAAGGAACAAGGAAGGAGGCGGGCGGGAGGATAATAGGGGAACGAAGAGTAACATAAACATCAAAACTCGGAGGTCCGCGCGGACCTCCGAGTTTTTATGTTTATGTCATTCTTCGTTCTCCCAGAGAAGGTTGAGCACCGCAGTGGTTGAGTCAGAACGAGAATAGGGGAACAAAAAGTGGCATAAACATAACATCTCGGAGGTCCGCGCGGATTTCTCGGATCGGCGCTGGGGCCCCCCGACGGCGCCTCCAGCGCCGCCCCTGGCGCGCTCCGCGCGCCAGGGAGGGGGGTCCAGCGCCGATCCGAGAAATCCGCGCGGACCTTGATTTTTACGTTTATGTCACCCTTAGTTCCTCTACAGGAAGGAGGCGGGCAGGAGGAGAAGGTTGAGCACCGCAGTGGTTGAATCAGAACGACAAACCAATGCCGGAGCGTCGGGGCAAACCGTCATCGACCGGTGCGAATACATGCGGCTCCAGGGTCTCAGCGGAGGCCGAGCCGCCAGGGCCACCCCTGGCGGCACCTGGCAGGAGGCTCCAGTCAGTCCCAGAGGGGGTCGTTCGGGACATCGGTCCCTCATCCCCTTCCCCCCCTTGTCGTCCTATCCTTCCTCCTCCTTACCTCGTTCCTCCACCTCCCCCTCCCTTGTCGTCCTATCCTTCCCCTTCCTTACCTCGATCCTCCACCTCCCCCTCCTCATCCTTACTTCGGTCCTCCTCCTCCTCCTCCTGCTCCTCCTCCTGCTCCTCTCCGTTATCTCGATCCTTCGCCTTCTCCGCGCCGTCTCGCGTCACAGGGTGTTGCCACTCCTGGCCGTCGAAAGCGGCGGGTCCATGTCGGTTTCCATCTGCTGGCCAGTGCGCCTCGGTGGCCAGCGGTACAACTCGCAGGTTGCAGGGGAACAGGCAACAAAAGCTCCTCCTCCTCCTCCTCCTCCTCCTCCTCCTCCTCCTGCCCCTCGATTCCTTCTCGCTGTAAATCGCTTCTCCCTGTCGCACCCCGAGGCCAGTTTTTAGAGCGGGCTGGGCGTTTCGCATGAGACTTCCTCACCATCAAAATGTGGCTCTCGCTTTAGCGCCGCGCACATTCGTTTTGAGACATTGCAAGAGCTTCACGGATTGAGGGCGAGTGGTTAAAAATGTAGATCGCGCAGTAGCGCCGCGCATATCCGTCTGCTTAAAACATCTGCAAGAGTCACGGATTGAGGGCGAGTTGTTTTCATCATGTGGCTCTTACCGCAGCGCCGCGCACATTTGTTTTAAAACGTTGCAGGAGCTTCTCGGATTGAGGGCGATCGGTTTTCAAACTGTGGCTCGCGCCGTAGCGCCGCGCACATTCGGTTTAAACGTTTGCAAGAGCTTCGCTGGTTGAGGGCGAGTCGTTTTCAAAATGTGGCTCTCGCATTAGCGCCGCGCACATTCGTATTCGAAAATTGCAGGAGCTTCCCGGATGGAGGGCGGCTCCTTTTCAAAGTGTGGTTCTCGCTGTAGCGCCGCGCACATTCATTGTAAGAATGCTCAAGAGCTTCACGGGTTGAAGGCGAGTCGTTTTCAAAATGTGGCTCTCGCCTTAGCGCCGCGCTCATTCGTTTTAGAAAATCACAAGGGCTTCACGAATGGAGGGTCGTTCCTTTTCAACATGTGGCTCCCGCTGTAGCGCCGCGCACATTATGTTTGAAGAGTTTGCAAGAGTTTCGCGGGCTCCCATGATCAGCGTACCAGATATAATGTGTTGGAAGGATTTAGGTTTACGAGGGTGCAGAAGTGCTGTTGGTTGACGGTGTTCGCATCCCAGAAATGGCGTACTGGCACGATTCAGGATCGTCAATACGCAACAGTCAGGTTGATCCGTGGCGTTGGAATCCCGAAGACAATGTTTTGGCATGCTTCAGGGTATTGCACAATTTTGTATCAACGCGGCAGCTCCCTCAGTAAAAATGAGCCGTTGTACTGGGCCTATGAAGAGGGAGCCTGAGAGGGCCTCTCGGGTTGACACTGGTCCTCCTCCTCGTTGATTCCAACATCGTTGATGTCTTTCGGGTTTACACTGGTCCTCCTCCTCCTCCTCCTCCTCCTCCTCCTCCTTTTCCTCCCCCTTCCCCCAATGGGAGTTAGGAGGCCACCCTGCCACCCCTGGCGGATCGAAGAAGACAACATCGCATAAACACAAGTTTTCGATTGTTCCCGCAGATCTCTTGGAACTGCGTTGGGGCCGCCCTGACAGCGCCTCCGGCGCCGCCCCTGGCGCGCTCCGCGCGCCAGAGAGGGGAGTCCAGCGCCGATCCAACAAATTCGCGTTGAGCTTTTAGATTTTATGGAGGATTCTTGTTCCTCCGATTCCCCTCCTCCTGCGTCACGAGGTGCGCACACTGAGTCGATCAGATCCGCTCCTCCTGCTCCTGCTGCTGCTCCTTCTCCTCCTCGTCTTTCCCTCCTCCTCCTCCTCCTCCTCCTCCTCCTCCTCTTTCTCCTCCTCCTCCTCCTCCTCCTCTTTCCCCTCCTCCGTTTCCATTTTGGCTCAAGATGTTTGTGCCCCGTGGCAGAGCACGGAGACCCCTGGTCCGGGGACTGCTAGGACCGCTGCTTTCCGCCTTCGCCGTGCCCGCGGCGTTGAGCATTTCCATACCCCTTGCTGCTGAGGCGCAGCTTACATACTTCTTGCCGCAAGCGCTGGCCCCTCAATCGATTGCCTCGCGATGGGTGTGCCTGGTGTCGCCAGCTCCGACTCCTGGGCCGACTACACCGACAAGGGCAAGGGCAAGGACACTGCTGCTGCCGACCCCTGGGCTGCTGGAGCTCAGAAGCTCGCCGTGATCGACCTCTCCGCACACCAGAGGAAGGTGCTCACCGATCTCCTCCAGACCCAGGTCGACAAAGCCGCCGCCGCCTTCGAAGCCACATCCAAGCAAGTTGGAGCTGCTGCACAAGCTGAGTTCCTGGCCAACATCACGAAGCTCACCGAGCAGCTCAGCAACCGCCAGGAGTCCGCCGAGAGGGATATTACCGAACTCAAAGGCCGTGCTGACCGTGCTGAACGCCTCCAA